AAATCCTGGAAAAGCTGCTACCCACAATCATATATGAAAAAGGATTAGGCTGATTGGATGTCTAGACCTATGAAAGAAAAAATATGCCGCAAATCTCTCATTAGTCTGCGGGATAGATAGATAATGTAATTTTTAAATTCCCGCCACCCCAGGCTCGCTGAAATAAAGTCAACAAACTATTGGATACCTTTTATCAGTCCATGGTGTCCCGGTTTCGTGGGACAGAATTTTAGAGTCACTTTCCTGTTGAGGAAAAGTGCAATTTTGTAAGGACTACAACACTCTATTTCATGGGAACAAAGCTGATAAAAACTTTGTTATAGGTTTCAGCTAATACTGGTATTCAGGTTGCCATAGTGCTCAAGGTCTTCAAGGTCTCAAGATAAATAGATGCAATGGGTGGGGGGAGCAGAAACTAGGGGAGTCAACCCCAAGGTGACCCCAGGCTGATCAATTAATACTATTCATACCATCAATGTCACTTTCATTATAAATTAGGGAGTTTGCTAGAGACAGTTCCCCTTCTCTGCCTCTTCCTCCTGCGCCCTCTTCTGTTGCTGACATCTCAGGAGGGACTTGTCTAACATCCTAACCCTGAGGCCTACTCCCCCACAATATTGGCTGAGTATAAATCTGTGTATTTTATATTGTAAAAGTTGCAACTATTCTTTATTATTATTATTTAAAAAAAAATACATTGCTATTTCAACCCATGAATCTCCTTTCCTTTTTCTGACCCCCCTCCCCAGGTGGGGAGGAGGCATCAGGTGATAGAGCAACTGTATAAACCATGTCACATGGCTTTTCTGGAATTTTTCATCTTATATGGCAGTCTAGTATCTAAAATAATGAAACAATCAAAATGAGAGGGCTGGATAAAAAAAAAAAATCACTTTTTAGTACTTTCAGACAGGAGTCTGAATCTCTTTAATGGCTGAACATAAGAGGAGGTAGGTCTGTGACAATACACTCCAGAACCAGGGCCATGCTGAGCAGGAAGCTCCTCAAAGGTAGAACACACAATGTGAAGATGCCTGGAGTCCACCCTAAGAACTGCTGAGCACTGCACTACGTCTTTATTCACAGCTGCATGAATAACCTCCTCCCTTGGGACATGCCATCTGAAACCCTCACCTGAATGCAGACATTTCTGTCCTTTCTTTGAGGGACACTGTTTTCTTTTAAAACGTATCAGGAAACAGGGTCATGCTCCCTTTTATACAATAGCCTAATGACTTGAACACTTGTTCAGGAAACAGGAAAAGTAGGCTCCTTTCCTTGCTCTGACAGAGAGGATCCAAGCCCACTTCTCCCTCGCTGGGCAATGTCCTACCCCATAGCCATCAGCTGATGGATACGTGGAAGACAGCACTCTCCAACCTTTCTGTTGAAGCTGTCCCACTCACTACTCATAAAAATATCTGGGGACATAAAAACTACTCCTTCCTTTTGCCAGCCACTTACCTGTCTCCAGACCTCTCTGAGAGTCATTACATTAAACACAGAAGGAGACTTAATCATAGAGTAGCAAAGAAATGGTTTTCAGCATCATAGCTGTTAACTTAGTCACCTGAATTAAAGTGATGTCTTTAGATATGGTCTAAAGCCTACTGCTTTAGGCACGTCCACAGTGCCATACATAGGCTAAAATATCCAGCAAGACCAAGCTGCTTATAGAGATTGATCAATTAACTAAATGTGGAGGAAAAGTAATGAGAGGAATCAGCAAAATTTGATCCATTGAATTCACTTCAAATATTACTCTGATAAAAGCAATAAAGCTGATTAACACATTCTCTGGAAATTCAGAGGTGTGCTAGCAAATGTTTTCTGAAATTTATACTGGCAAGAAAGTTAATCTCCCAGAAACAGCTCAGTGATTTTACCCAATCCTATGGAATTTATTATAACTCAGTGAACCAAAACCTCGGAGGAAGAAAATAGGAACAAAGAGTACAGGAGATTTTCAAAACAAAATCACATTTTCAAAGAAGACAAAGGAATCTTTCTGGATTAAGTATTCAAATCAAGAAAGCTTGGATAATTTACACAGGTCCCAGCCAAATCCTCTTTAGGTACTACAAAACACAGTCCCAACATTAGTGTACCTGGATGTGAAACAAAATCTGTATCCCTACTGTTTTGCTGACTGAAATACAAAAAAAAAATAAAAATCCTTAAAAGCTGGGTTTAGGGTCGGCGGGGGCAGGGTGAAGTAAGTTTTCTAGGTAAACCTTCACTTCTGAGGTTTACATCCAAAACTGCATCTGATTTCTTTCTTCCAAGCCCTTGGCACAGGGACCACATCCCTACCTATCTGCAGATAGGACAGCAGATACCTTTTTTTCCTGCACTCGAGACATTTTTCCATTGCTTTTTGTTTGCTTTTGTTATGAATGCAAACGAGGGTGCTCAACAGCATCCCTCACTACTACAAATCTTCATAAACCATTGTCTCCAACTGACCACTGTGAGCCAGATCAAAGTCAGTCACCTTCATCCTCTGGCTTCTGTGCCCAGCTCTCTGGCCTGAGACCATAAATCCATCGATAACTTCCACCCCAGCTACAACAGAACAGTTTGTTAAGTGCAAGGGGATCAATAAATCAGACTTTAAGCCCAGTTCACTACTATTTCCAGTTAATTACAAAGGGATTATTTTCCTTTAGCCCAATACCTATACAAAGTAATATTGTTTAGATGAACCAATCTTGTTCCCTCTCCATGTTACACAGGAGTTTGATTGAACCAGTTTTAACCAGAGCTCCAATCGATACAATCCCTCGTTGCAGCAGGAGACACCAGCCATTCAGATGCCTGAGAAAAATCCCTGCCAAAATGGCCATAGCAGCAATATAAACATCTGTGGGTGCAAAGGGGATTTGCAAACGTTCTCTTACTGTGTTTATGAATCTCACAACACTGCTCTGTATTGGGAGTGAGGGAGGAGAAAGCATAAAAATATTAATCAGTTACTTATCTTCTGACATGTTCTGGATCAACATCTGGTGCATGTGCAAGTGATGAAGTATGGCATTTGGCACAAAAGTTTATTTAATCTCTTTCCAAATTGGGCAAGGAAAATTAGCACTCTTAAAAATTAAGTTTCCAGATCTAATTTTTTTTCTTTAAAATAAATTGCCAACATTGTATAGGCTGTCTGTTCTATTTTGGAAAATGTTTTTCGTCTGAGAAAAGACTGATCTTAAGTAGATTATCTATGGGCTGTTTCCTACCACTTTTTGTCTCCCCTGCAGTATCTTACTGCCAGGGTTTAGTAGACAAGTATAGTCTAGGTTCAGCTGTTTTATTTCTACTTCTATCAGTTCAAACTGAGATAGCTCACACATCTGTTTTATTTCTGAAAGCACTGCATAGGAAAAAAGTGTCCAGCTCATTTTAATCAAGCATAAACTTTCCTATAAATAACTAAGGACCTAACGAAACAATTGTTTGGAGGAAATGAAAGTGTGTTTAGAAACTCAAATTCCTCTATACTGTATGCCTGAGCTGTTCCAGTTTGAATGTCTTCCTGACAGCATGGATCAGTTGCTTTAAGATGCTGTCCCCGGAGTCAGCAAACTGAAACTATAGCAGGAAATCCAGGTTTTAACATCATACTATGTGCTAATTATAAACCATCATTTCACATTCTGACATTATTCACTTCTAACCTCTTTTAACTAAATCACGTATTTGCTTTCTAATCACAGCTTGACAGGAGAGAGTGTCTGACATGAGACACTGCAGTGATCTTTTAATAAGACCACAGTTCAAAGACTGCAGCTTTTCAGCATAACGACCTTAGTCTGATTTGTTGCTCCACAAAGAAGTTGTAGAGTTTCTGAAAAAAGAGGAAAAGTTTAAATCACTTAAAAAGCTCCAAATTCCTGACTTGTGTTCTGGTTTCAACTTCTTACTTGAAGCTAAATATTAGCCATCTTAACCTGTTTTGCAAAATTTCTTTCCTATAGCTACAGTCTCTGCGAGCATTATTAAATATTTTCCACCTTCCACCTTTTTATTTTAACACACAGTGAGTTTTCTCTGATGATTACTACCAGGTTGGACATCACGTCCTATACAAACATACACTTGAAATTGGGTGGACATTTTAACTTGTTTTGTCTGTGATTTTGTTACTTGTTTTTTTTTCTTAAAAAGTCAATTTTTCTATCATAGAATATTGAGGTAGCTTACTGCATCTCTCAGCTCACTCACTGAGAGGTTATTTCCTAAAGCAGCCTCATTTTTATTTAAAACTAATTAAATATTAGCTAGTAAGAGATTAACAAATACTCCATGAAAAAGCTTTTGAGTCCACTCTTTCATGGCAAAATAGGATTTTTTTTTCAGCAGTATCTGTAGCTTTTTCCCTGCTCCAACTAGATGAGAGACTGACTGAGGCAACAGTCCCTTCCTTGCATGCTCACCAACATGAAGGACACTATGAATTACTGCAACTTTTTGAAATGTTTTAAACACCCATTGCGTATCCTGTTTTTCTGGCCCTGGACAACTTCAGAGTTGCCAAGACTTAAAATTTATTTTATCTTAGTAAAGAATCAAGAAGCCAAATCTTAACTTCTGGCAGCTAATAATTTAGAATTTCATTTTTAATTTCCAGCTGCTGTCTTTTGTCTATCTGTTATTTTTCATTATCATTTTCTCTTTTCTTTCCATGACAGCAAATCCTTTAGATATGATTACCAGTTCAGCAGTCTACCTGTTTGCTGAATAAGATCTTTTGCTATTGATTACCACAGCAACTAAATCATACACAGAATTATCACTGCTCAAAAAGCCAAGTACTCCTCGACTGTACAAGATGCTCAGTAGACCTGCAGAGAGCCTGGCTAAAACAGACCAAAATGGTTTTTAAGGCTTAGACAGGTTATATCAAATACTTTAATCGTATAGGTAGGGGAGGCTTTGCAAATAACCAGCTTTGCGATTGAGGAGGCAGTCAGCAGAAGCAGGGAGGCTGGGAAAATACAAACCTGCACATCATAAGTCCCATTTAATAAGACAGGCCTCTGGGAATTGATGTCCTGCAGCACTCCTGAAAGCACAGTGCGGTTGACTTTCTGGAAGTCTTTGGAGTGGCTGAATTGCACCATGTTGTGGAGAGCCAAAATTTTAGTGTCAAGCTCGGCATCCTGCCTGGTGCGGTTGTGCAGTCCTAGGTGGTACTTGCGGAAGTGTTTGATGAGATCTGTGGGGTCGTTCCCATAGTAACCGTATCCACAGATGTTGCATTTGAAGTCCTGAAGCTCTGGAGACAGAGGCGCCGTATCTGGGTTATCACTTACCAAAAAATCTGCTTTAGATTTGTTCAGCCTTAAACCCCCATCTGAAGGCACTTGTGGGTTTTTTGAGGCCATGGGGACTGGGCTTGAGCCTTGGCCATCGGTTTGACCACTTTGCACTTGCACTGTTTCATCTGAAGCTTTTGGCGACATCTGATGCTCCTCATTTGTCTCCGCTGCATCTCCTGATGGGGTACAGACCACATCTTGGGTGTCATCTGCATCTGATTTCTGAGGAGACTTCAAGGGCTCACAGATTCCCCCAACAGCTGGAGATGAGAAAGCCAGCATATTTCTGTCTGTCACCTCATCATGAGGGAAGGATGGAACATTTCCTCCCTTATTGTGGCTTTCATAATTGAAGCCAGCCTTTTCACTCAGCACTGAGCTTTTCAAGTCCTTTTTAATGCTGGAAGATGGCTCTTGGACATGCGTGCAAAGTTCTTCCTTGTTATTTAACTCTGCCGCATCACCCTGGTCAGTGTTTTCTTGCATCTGCTCTGAGGAAAATTCTCTTTTCCTTCCAGACTCTTCACTTTCAGTACCTGTAGACTCAAGTGTCTGTACCTCACCTTCACTAGCAACGTTTCTTAGAGGGGGGTTCTTTTTCCGGACCATATCTACCACAGAAGGAAAATAAAGAAAGAAAGAAAGAAAGAAAGAAAGAAAGAAAGAAAGAAAGAAAAAAAACAAAAAACCCTATAGAATTATTCAAGATAAATAACAGGTTATAAGCCTGGCTCTTTTTAAAGCGTTCTGAACTATATGAACACATCAACTTTTAGAAAATTTTTGTCAGGCAGGCTTTTAGTCTACGCAGAAAACTGAAACTTGGTATTTTAAAAAATAGTCACACTGAGACTGAACGTAAATAAAAGACAACTTTAAAGTACAAAGACACTGCCATCAGAGTGTATCACAGGTTTCATTATCTTTTTGGAAGATAACGGAACGGTTCTTTTTGAAATGGTCTGGCAGAAATAGTTTTAAATGAAAGTTTTCTTTAAAATAATTTTTAAAAACTAAGGGGAAAAATAAACTTTTGCAGTCTAATGTTCATACACTCCATATAGCTATAATGTGGCTTTGCAAAAATACACCTAAAAGGCATAATCAGGAGCACTTAACAAATAATTAAGAAGGAAACAGATTTAGGAGAATAAGTAACTTTGAGGTTTCAGAGACAGTCTTTTTCCTAAGCAGATACCAGTTTCTCTATAGCAAAAGCTCCCCCTCCTACTGCCTATAAACTTCAAACAGAATTATATGGATACTCTAGAGTCTGGCCCCACAGTCCATTACTCCTGTAATTAGTTCTATTTGCCAAACAAAGAGAAACTAACTTTATTAGGAAACCCATTGTCAATAAAATTTTACAGGCCTGGATCCAGACATTTGACATTGCTGTGTGGCTGTGTCGGGATCTACCCCAAAAACACCTGGAATCCACATGGTTCTAAGCAGCTGAACCTTCCTCTGCTCAGTCCTCCTTGCAGACATAGCCGCTATTGCTAAATCTGCAAATACACTGTCAGGACTCATTTAAGAAAGCTCAGACAGGACAGCAGGAAGAATCAGAGAGAAAGGAGGAGGCTGCCACCGTTGAGTTAGACACTAGCACAGCAGGGGAGATGATGGAAGAACAAATAATCAGACGATGCAGGTAGTAAGCCAAATTCCTTATCCACTACATATCTTCACCTGCCCTAGCCTACTTAGAGAAGATATACATAGGAAGCTCCACTGCACTCCCCACTGTGTGGTTCTGGATTTGATATTCCTCACCAGCTGGTTTGATCCAATTGTGTTCACATGCTAGCTATGGGCAGAAGACAGATGTGCTACAACTTTTTCTACGCCCTTATCTTTGCCCATGCTGTATGCTGTGATGGATGCTTCTCTTTGCCAAATCGCGTGTGGTCGGGTGGCAGCAGCCTGCAGTACCACACACGAGATGTGAGCTGCAGACTCAAGTCTAAGCCCCCATTCCCAGGCCAGTCACGGCTGGGTGCCTACAGGGGCGCAGGAGATATATATTGCTCTGCGAAGGGAGGACCACCTGGTGATTCTGGGAGCAGTGCTGATGCACTCCAAATGGTGCTGGATCTAGACCTTTAAAAGCCGCGAATGACCTTCTCAAAACAGTACTTTGAGAAGTACAGCTGGGGACGGAGGTTAAAAATAAAAGAACAGGCATCTGTACATCCTCTTATTTACATCTGCTCCACATGAAAGGGCACTGTACACTATGCTGATAAAAACAGACAATTTCTTAGGGGAAGTGTTCAACTTGTGTCTTGGGCTGGCTCTGTTGTCTTTGTGGTTGAGCGGATCCACAGGCAACATGGGCTACAGTGAGACGGCTTTCACACAGAATGCCAGCTCGTGTTACTGAAAACTTGACACTCCGTGTGGTCTTAATAGGTTTCTTAAATGCCTACTGTGATTCCATACTGTAGGAGACACGCACACTTGGGAACCAAGTGTCTCCTTTTTCATGTCAGCCACACCTACCAGGATATGTATGCACTGAATTTTACTTCCCCAACGCGCTCCCCCCCCCCCCCCCAATACCTTCTGAACCATGAAGTCACTAAGAACTAAGAGAAAAGAAATATTTCCTGTTGTGGTAAGGGAACTATTACAACACAGACTAAGCCTACTAAACCAACAGGCACATGTATACAATTCAAGGTATAAAGATAGTCCTTAGCCTTTTAGCATTACTGCTTCTCTGTGGGACTTCATGAATGCTGCTGGTTAACACAAACTAAAAATATTCCTGAGCGTCTCTGGTAGGTGTTCAGCTAAGCCTGTGTTTTTCTCCTGGTTACACATCCCAAACCATTTTTAAAATAACTTCTGTTTAAATGCAATTCATGGCAGTTAGAGGACAGAGAAGGAGTCCTGAATATGCAGTGAAGAAAAATCAGAAATCGAGAAAATAAACATTGTGACTGTTACCTCAGTCAAAATTAAACAAGACTAAATGCAATGTTTTAAAATGTTTTTGTTACAGATATTTTGGGCAGATAAGGAAAGTTTAGAGATTTTGCTATCTTCATAGCAATTGACAGAAGAGAGTCAGAAAAAAGGACAGAAAAAAATCTCTATAAAGCAAAGACAAGAAAAACTTGGACTGTATACAGCCCAACTAGACAGTACTCCAGATCTAGATACTTTGCTTCAAATTTTCGTGACATATCTGCGAGCCTCTCTATTAATGGAGGGGAAAAAAAACCCATATCTGACTAATGGAGCTTTTTGATGCAGTATTCTACACTTGCAGAAAGACAGGAAAGATAACATTGATTTAAATATAAAAACTTTCTTAAGTTGAATTTAAAAGTGGTTTCCCCTCTCTCTTCTTTTAGCTTTTGAAAAATCATCTGTCATTTATTTGCTTGATAGCCACTCAAGGGGACAGTAAGAAAAGACACAGTATTTTTTTTTGTCACTGAAATTCCACCACTATCACTTTTCAGAGACATATTATGTAAATAAAACTACATTTGCAATACTCCTAAATCGAAGAAACCATCCCCTCGCAAGTCATAAGTTAGATATAGAAAGAATATAGCCACTCTCAAATTATTATCTCTAAGACAAATAACAGATTGCACAATGTTTTATTGTGCGCCAAGAACGTTTTCAGTTAACAATTTCACTTGAAAAAATGGATCACATACTTGTAAAATCATACCCAGCATTGACTTCATAAGGCATGTGGCTTTAGAGTGCTTTTTACAATTATTAATTCTATTAGTCAACTAGCAGGCGGGCTAATGCAATTGTCTTAGAAGATGCACGGAAGACACAGAAGACATTTTGAGAGCTGATCTGTATATCTGCAAAACAAAACAAAAGAAAAAGGTTTTCCTTCCTAAATTATGCATTCAAAATATAGTTTTTACTTAAAGACATTATTATGCCTATTGTACATTCACATGCATCTATTAGTGGGCACTATACAAACAGTGGCTGCCATTCTCTACGTCCATCAATTATAAGAAATTCCACAGCTGCCTTTTCCTCAGACAGACACACACATCCTTGCACACACACACATACAAACATACACACTCAGAGAAAGACAAAAGTTATCCGAGGTGATGTTCACCAAAAAAACAAGTTTAAAATAAGTTAAAAGTAAGTGTTGAAAATGAGCTGTGAAAAATAAAAGTGCCTTTAAAAAAAACACATATTTAACAGATATCGTGCATAGTAATGGGACTGGACTAAGGAACGGATAAAGGAATACAAATAACTGGTTCATATCCAGGCTCTGCCATCAGCAATTGAAAGTTATCATCTGATGGCTGCCTTGTGTCCCACTTGAAACAAATTTAGTGGTGTTACTTTAAGTGGGCAACTATCCACATCTCAAAAACGCCATCACAGTAATAAGCATGTTTGCTGGCTGCTAGTGAAGAGGTCAAGTGATGAACAGTCATTGGGACTGAACTACCTTTTTGTCACTGGAAACGGTGATCTGCCCAAAATAAATGAATTACTAAGCCTGATGTGAAGGAAAAGACTTCTCGAGCTGAGGGAACTCTGGATGAGGCCCAGGCTGCAGAACTTGTCTTTGGGCTTCATACTCCAGGGTTTAGTTTCTTATTTTCATTACACTGAAATTACCTTTAAAACCACGTGGCGGGTTTTTTTTTTACCTGATATGATAACCCTCAGCTATTTTCAAGTGGAAATAATACTAATAGCTACATATAGTTTCCCTCAAAACCAGCCAATGCTACTCTACACAAGTCATGCATCTGCAAGACACACGTTTCTGCTCAACAATCACCCAAATTCTGATAATCAATAGTTTCTTATGCTGGTGAAGACGCTGGCTAATTACCTGCTGATCATCAGCTCCACAATGGGCCATTGCTCATTACTTTTACTGACCATGATGACTTGCCATGAAAGCCTATTGCAACAATGTGGTTGTTGCCTTGTGCTTGCACTGCAGGTTTAGGTCAGATCTTAGTCACATGCACTTTTTAACAGAATAATACCTTTAGAAAGACGTTTGAATTTTGTGAGATGCCACTGACTAATCTTTGTACAAGTAGATGTACAAGCAGATGAAGAGCAAACTGAGTCAAGGGTCAGTGAAGAATGTGATGTTATCAGTCAATATATTGCAGCAACAAAAAATTAAATGAAAATACGCATTTACATTCAACAGACTCAAGTAGGACTTCTTTCTTAAGGGATAGTAAAATTAATACTTTTACACTCATATATATTACACACCCACACAGACATATAATGCACATACGGCGCTTAAACATCAATCATTTTGCTAGAATAATGCAGCAAAAAATCATTAACTCTCAGTGTCTCAGCTTAATATATGTCTAATACTTACCTATCTCACAGGAGTTTTGTGAGGCTTAATTAATTAGTGACTGTAAAGCACTTTGTGATCCTCTAATGAAAGGTGCTACATAGCACAAAGTATTATTAAAACCATTAGGACCACAAAAAAGCCCTGTGGAATTCCAGCCTACACTGTCTGTTGGGGTTGGGAGTGATCTTATTATTAAAAGGAGACCGTCAGACTAATTTTCATAATATTTTCAAGATCTTTTTTCCCCCTTTGCTGTTGTGATAGCATGTTAGTAGCTAGAAATTTAATCTTATCATCTTAATAGCATATACTCATGTAGTTTGTTACTGCAGGGCTAGAGAAGAGAACAGAGCTTTTGGCACTCATCTGGCTTTCCCTTTTAAGAAAATAAAAAATTGAGAGACATATTTTGACACCTTCCCACACTCCACCCCACGAGGACAGCCGATCATGTGAGATTGCAGGATACTCACTATAGCTGCATGGGAAAATACTGCCGTGGTTTTAAATTCTCTCTGTTTTTTTTTTTCCTTTTTCTTTCACAGAAAAAAAACCAAATCAAAACCAACAAAAAAACCCCAAACAGCCAAGGCGCAAAACAAAACCCAGCTTATTACACATAAATACGCCACAAAGACTGTGTGCTGTGCTTTACATAAAAAACCCTTAAGTGCTCAAAGTGTCGGCGTCTATCAAGCACATAAAGTCCCATCCGATCTAGAGCCTTCTCCACATTCTCCATGTAACAACCAAGCAGCTGCATGGCTCGCAAACTCTGAAGCCAGAAAGCTCCTGTCTTGAGTGAATTTCTGGGAAACAGCCTCTGTGACGGGCTCCATCCCCAGGGAGCCACCTTGCACCCAGCCCTGCACCCAGCCCTGTCCCGCCGGGCCGGCCCAGACCCGTGCCGAGCACAACCAGAAAGTCAACAAGCTCATCAGGATGGCCCACAATTCAAAGACCTGTATGTTTTCTAATTTAAGCATTTTCAAAAAAATATAATAATAATCACCATCGCCAACATCCTCTGTAAATACACTGGGAATTCCAGCTGAAATTGCTGCCTTCACTGAAAATTAGGTTATATTGGATGCAAACTAGCCCCCGATTCAGACACAGCAGTACACTACTCTCTAAAGCTCCCATCTTTCCACCTTCTCTTGTGGATACTTGAACACTGAAATTGCAGAAGAGAGGTGTGTGTAGCTTCACATCCCCACCATCTCCAGGTGGGACACAGAGGTAGAGGGAGTCACACACAATGCTTCTCTCTCAGCTTTGCTTGTGGTTCTCAGAGCAAGCCTGCAGAAAACAGCGGATACCTGGTCCTAACCATTCTCTGCTGAGAGGGGAAGAACAACCCCTTCTGTGTAAGGAACTCAAGAATTAGGCCCTAAAGCATGAGAGGGCAGAACACACTTAATAACAAGCAACTCCCTCTTCAACAAGACCACCTTCTCCCCCAGGGCACCAGTGTCTTCACATATACCATACAAGACAGGGGACGTCATGGCACTAAGCAAGTGACAAAACAATTCCAAAGGACTTTTTAAGTGATACGTGTTTTTCTAAAAGTCCTAAAACTGCACGGCCGCTCTTTCCTTCCTGAGATTGCTTGGAGTAGAACGTGCCTCCTCTTATCAGTAAAATTTGGCAGGATCAGACATTGCATTTGGTCAAAATGTATCTGCTTGATATTCTACACTTTGCATGCTCCACTGAAATTATGATAGCTTCATCATTCTAGAAAATGCAAGTAGAAAATCATGCCTTATACGTCTTACTAGTAGAGCAGTATTATAGCAAAACACTGTTGTTGTTTCACCTCCTTTCTTCCTCTTCTGCATTTTCAGACTCTTCGGTTTGGTCCCTGATCACCAGGTTTGGAAAGAGCTTTTTGCAATTTTTTTTCCACAAAGTTTACAATAAAGAGACAAGTGAAAAAAAAGCTGCAGTCCGTTCAATCTTGCTCCTTCCCATTTACATTTACTTTCCCAACATCGATCCTTCTCAAACTTCTCAAGGTGCACTTTTAGACATCTTAAATCCTGTTCAGCTACAGAGTGTCATCACCTTCGAACAATTCTCTTCAGATAAATCTCTTACTAAATCACATCAAATTAATTCAAAACTATGTTTTCTATTGCCATATGCCTCAGAGCACAGCACATCTTAGCAGTCCTCTAGCCACTAAAATAAGTCTACCCTTTTCTATGGGTATAGACCAGACACTTGGTCATTTCAGAGGGTTTAGGAGCGGCATTTCAAAATAGATTTTTGAACCTACTTCCAGGCACCTGCTTCATTTTAATCTCTCTACCAGAGTCATCATGCAGACACTTTCAGGAGAAACTGAAGTCAAAAGGTGATTTGTCTATAGAGGTGGCACTGGGGGGAATATGACGGTATCTTGCAACCAAAATGAACAACTCTACAATTGGGTTTTTTTATTTAAGAGTGCTTGAGCATGGCAGTTCACTGCTCTGCATTTCTTCCTGGCCTGCTGCAGAGTTTGTTCCTACGGGACCACCACTGCCATCCACCCAGGAGGAGGGAGCCTGAGAAGGTAAAGATTCACTTTGCTCTGGCTTCCAATCAAGCATCTAAAAAAAACTCTGTAAACGTGACAACCTGTTAAACCTCAAAAAACCTTGTGAAACAGGAAAATTAATATCGCTGACATTTTACAGATAAAATTATCTACAGAAAGAAGGAAAAATCACGGTGTTCTGAACCTGATTTCTCTTGACGTCCAGGCCCATACCCCTCTCCTCTATCCACTTCAGTAGAGAGAGCATCACCCCCGCACTTGGCAAAAGGCCAAGATCCTGTAATTTAATAAGGTACAGAAAGAGCACCTCATGCAAAAGTCTAAATGCTCCAATTTATCATGACAGTTATGGGATAAGCTGACATTTTATTTGTATGTAAATTGGTCTCCAAAACAGCATTAAAAGGCCACACTTTCAGAGAATATTGTACCTTTGCTTCTCTGTTATGCATTTATCTAAACTCAGCTTTGTGTATTAAAAGTAGTTTAATTTTTGTGTTCTGATGCTGCTTTGTATGCTCCTCAATCTGTTGTTACTGCACCGCAGAGAAAACCCAGCCTGATTTGCTTACTGCAATGAAAGAAGTGACTGCTGCCAGGACTGGCACCTCCTGTGAGAGCCCTGCCATCCTCACTGAATCTTCTGGTTATTCTAATAATTTGCTGTCGTTACACTTTATAGGATTGTAGAACATCCCCTATTAGATAAGACCAGAGGTCCATTTAGTCTGGTGTTCTGCCTTGGAGAGCGGCCAATACCAGATCCTTCAAAGAAGGTTCAACTGCCTATGGACAGATACAGAATCACCTGCCTCTGTGAAAAATAAATCACTCCTAGTCCTCAACTCTTACTCAGTGGCTTACTTTCTGGAGAGTAAGAGAGTTTATAGACCTCAATGAACTCTCACATTCCACAATTTGTTGTTAAATAAGTCTGT